ATTAGAACCACCTTGTCCTGCTGCAACTCCAGAACTTCGGGATGCATTAGAACCACCTTGTCCTGCTGCAACTCCAGAACTTCGGGATGCATTAGGACTTCTGGGTGGTGTTCTGGGTTTTTTCTTTTCCTTCCTTCTTTTGTCATCTTTCTCTTTGGATTTGTCCTTTTCTTGATCCTTTTTTCCCCTCGTTGTCTCGCTTCTTTTCATGCTGCTTATCCTGCTCTCTCTGTGTCTATTTCCCGTTCTTTATCTTTGTTTTCACCCCACTCCCCCCGTTTTTCATCTCCCTGCCCACACCCACCCCTCTCTTTTCCTTTCACTCTTTCCTTGTCCTGTGAAGGTGAACAAGTCCCCGACTTCCACCTGTTCCTCAACTCAGAGCGCCTTTATATGGGCTCTTAGATGGACGCCTACCTTTCTGTCTTGAACGGAGTGGATTGTGGCACCTGCGCCTGTGTTTTGTGATCTTTTCCTCCTGGAACGGGACTCTGCACTGGGCGTGGGTTTTGAATGAGTGTGCAGACAAGATCACCCGTCTTTTCGTTCATTGTTCTTTTCAGATTCTCGTTCCAGAACTGCTGAGATCAGGGATTGGGCCTCTTGTACTCGCTTTGTAACTTCTTGTAACTCCTTTAGATGCAGCCTGAGGTTTCATCTTAGGGAGGTTTACTATTCGATTGTTGGAGTGATTTCTTTTCAGTGGCCTCTCTCCAAAGATAACACCATTAAAAGCTAGAGCCCTTGGTACAGAATTTTGGTCTCAAATTCCACAACAGCTAACCGAGTTGGCTGAGTCTCATCACTGCAATCTGTACAAACTTCATTTCTCCAACTTGTTTAAAAAATTCAAGTAGTTGATCAGCAGTCATTGTCTGAGAATTAAAATTTCCAACACAGGTTGTTCTCTAAATTTCATCCATTTTGGAATGATCTACATTTCCCATGAGTGGAGGCTGTGGTATCTCTCCAAGTATTAGGATCCAGTGCTGCTGCGTGCATAGCTCCCAACCTGCTAAGTGAAACAGCCAGTGGAGTCAAGGCATTTGGGGTTTGTGCAGGAAGCAACCATGTCCCAGGCATTAGACTTTTCACTGTTGGAGCAGGAGCCAATAAAGGATTCCTCTGGGGTTTTGTCTTCTACACAAGGAACAACTGTCAGAACCCTATTAATAGTGTTAGTGCGATGCTGTGCCACACCAACACTTGATGGAGCACAAAACTTAACATACTTTGGAGGAAAAGCAAGAGGTGCCTTGTCTGGGGAATAGAGTTGCAGCTCTTTGATTTCTCCTTGGAAGGACAAAACCATTTGTGTCTGCTCTCTGGTCACGGCCCGTGACACATTCCCACGTGAATCAATGCTGTAGGGGTGAGGCCAAAGCAGGCCAACCGGCCGCTGCCCATCCTGCTCCTGCTGTCATATCCTTTCCTTTTGATCGAGTTTTTCTGTGTTTTATTTTGTCACTGATGTTGGGTTTTTCGTTTCCTGTTTTGGTTTTGGATATTCTTGTGTAGATGAAACAAAAACATAGAGACAATAAGTGGATTAAAAATTACCCAGGGGCCTGGCAGGGAGGTTAGAGGGTAAAGGACAGCTAACAACAGTGACCACTAGCAAAAAGAAAATGTTCTAAAATGTCTTTTAATGTAATTAATTCTTCTTAATGTGCTTGAAATATTGAAATATTTTTAAAAAGATCAAAAGGACAACATTTGCCCACTATCTAGATTCCGAGGTAGGAAAGGCAAAGGAATGGAAATGAAGCACAGGAAGAAAGCAGAATAATAAATTCATGGTACAGTGGATGAACTAAAACAAAATGTGTAGGAATTAC